AACAACCTTCGCCACAAAGCGGAGGTTGGAGACTGGACGATAGTTAGCCAATACATCTGGGTTCAAGGAAGGCTTCTTAAGAAGGGGCCTCACCACCGCCTCTTTAAGGGCCGTGGGAAAGGTACCCTCCCCCAAAGAAGCGTTGATAATTCCCTGAAGCCAGGCTCGTGTACCCTCCCGGGCCGCCAGTACCAGCCAGTTCTTCATATGTTTTAGTCTCCAGATCTCTGATCATTTTAGTTGCTGTTCTCTGATTTTTTTCCAAACTTTCAACATCTTTTTTGTAGTATGGTGACCAAAATTGGTTGCAGTATTCCAGGTGTGGTCTTATTAGGGTTTTATAAAGCGGTACTAATACTTTGCGTGATCTTAATTCTATGCCTCTGTTTATACAACCCAAGATTGTATTAGCTTTTTTGGCTGCTGTTGCACACTGCTGGCTCACAGTCAACTGATCGTCAACTGATCGGGACTCCAAGGTCCCTCTCACAGTTGCTGTTTTTGAGCCAGGTCCACCTAATCTGTACTTAAATTTTTGTACTTTGATTTTTCCTGCGTAAATGTAAAACTTTGCTTTTCTTCACATTAAAACTTATTTTGTTGGATAGGGCCCATTGTTCAAGTTTGTCAAGATCTTTTTGGGCTTTGAGCTTGATGGTGGTGTTGTCTATCCCACTTTTTTCTAGCTTACTAAGCAGCAGGTTGTGGTCTACTTTGTCAAATGCCTTATTGAAGTCTAAGTATACTATGTCCACAGCCTTTCGCTGGTCAACTAATTTAGTCATTTTATCAAAGAATGAAATAAGTTTGGTTTGGCATGATCTGTTTTTGACAAACCTGTGCTGGCTACTGGTTATGACTTTGTTTGCTTCTAGTTATTCGCAGATCTGTTTTTTGATTATCTTTTCCAAGATTTTCCGAGGTATTGATGTTAGACTGATTGGTCTGTAGTTTCCTGGGTCTGTTTTTTTTCCCTTTCTTGAAGATGGGAACCACATCAGCTCTTTTCCAATCCTCAAGTATTTCCTCAGTGCTCCAGGATTTTTGAAAGATATGGTACAATAGTTCTGAGATAACATCTACCAGCTCCTTCAGAACTCTGGGTTGTAATCTATCGGGTCCCAGTAATTTATATCCATCAAGGTCGGATAGGTGTTCTCTTACCATTTTCTTGCTTATTTTAATTTTTGTTTCTAGTTTGTCTTTTGCAGTCCTTGTTAATGACTGCCTTGTTTAGTGACCATTCATAGTTACAATAGTGATGAAAAAAATACCTTTGAGACCAATCCTTGCATTAACAACTTTCACAAGTCTGTAAAGGAAAGTTGATGTAAGATCATAAGCATAATGGAGATTTCACTTAGCAACCCCTTCACTTAACCAAGTTGCCAGTCCCAATTGTTTTTGCTAAATGAGGACTAAAGTCTTTAATGAGGGAGACAAGCAATAGCAAAGGAGACAGTGAATCATTGCCGAACACAAGTGCTATCATGCAACTGGACAAATAGAGAAAGAGAATGAGAGGAACCCAGACCAGTTATGCAGGGCATGTCCATAACATCTATCAGGATCACTTAAGGA